GGGGAGGTGACACCACCTGAAAACATATTGTAGGCAAAAGAACGGATTTTCGCCAAATTGTTTTCTTTTCAGCAAAAATATTTCAGTGGCACTGATTAAAATGTAATGGGTATAGCAAAACTTTTGATAAATCTAAGAAAAATGTAAGAATTATGTTACGTTAACTGCAACGTGAGTGAAAAATGAAATGTCAGGAAACTTTTTTCTGATGTTAAGGGTTGGCATCTAGGTTGCATTACGTACTATGGCCGAGAAGGGCCATGACTGTAAACACTCGCCGTTTTTTTTTACCATTACACTCGTCGTTTTTTTTTTTCAAAATCACACTCGCCGTTTTTTTCTTCAGAATTACACGCCACGTTTTTTCAGAGATGATGCAATAATTACACGCGGCGTTTTTTCCAAAAAGTAATTACACTCGCAGTTTTTTTAGAGTTACGTTTTAAACTGAGGGTTTCACTTCGGACGAAGATGGGAGCTATCATAAGGTTAGAGTGTTTCATCAAAACAATTCAGTCGGTTATGAATTTCAGTCGGTTATGAATCAATGATTAATCATGAATCCTTGTTTTCCAAACCCACAAAGCTTTTGTTTATATAGTTTGGAAAACACAAAAGAAAACCATTCGTTATATTATATATTCATAATTAACAGACTGAAAAGTAAATTTTTATGATTTTGAGTTTTGATGAAACACACTAACCTTATGATTTCTCCCATCTTCATCTTCTTCGAAACCCTCAGTTTAAAACGTAACTCTAAAAAACCGTCGAGTGTATTAATAGTTGGAAAAAACGTCGTGTGTAATTATTGCATTGAAAAAACGTCGCGTGTAATTATTGCATTCAAAAAAAGTCGCGTGTCATTATTACTCGATGGGGCACATGTGCCCCGGGCGAGTATAGGTTTCGGCACACATTTTTTGTGGATGTCAGATCGTCGTTGATAGCCACGAAATAGAATATTAATGAGCTGCCTATAAAACTCAATTTCTCCTTTTCAAAATGGCGGCCTTTCGTGGAGTGGGCAAAATTTTTCAAACAATTTCGTTAAAATTTTCAACCAATTGTACCTGTTTTGTATAGATTTTGCATTGTGTCTAACGCTGCACGTTCTTGCTAGTTTAGTTAACGCATTTTTCTTGGTGCATGTGCACGACTCTGAACATGCGAAATTTGGATCTTTGAATTCCCGTGCTGGTCGTGCACGATTCATAATACTGTTTACTGAATCGGAATTTAAACGAGCCAATTTCAAGGTAAAAGGTTTAAACTTAAACTACACAACGTAGATTTAATAAATAACTACATTATGAGAAGCATATTGGTGTCATATCAATATAAAATTTATGCAACAACAGTCCCTAATAGTTAGCTGCATGTGGAGGCGTGAAAACTGTAGTGTGAAATATGATATTGTATTTGTAATGCCTAATGGCGCAATATGATAAAAATACCATCGTTCGATTCAGCGTAAGAAATTGTACTTACGGGTGTCAAATGTATTACTACACAAGAGCATTCCAGCGATTTATTGTCACGATGTTATTAGGTGACGTCACGATGAAGAAAACATTAATTTGATTGACAGGCGCGGCGAGCGAGGCGTACGAAAAGTAACACAACCTAGGCGTTTTATATATTGTAAACAAATGACTATTTCTCTAGGTTTCTTGTGAATCAGAAACTATATCGTAATAAACTAACACGTTACATGGTGTCAGGAGTGTTCTGAGTCGAAATAAAACGATGGTTGAGCCACAAGCAGAAGTCATGCAAGCGCCACAAATGGCCCAGACGCCACAAATATTTATAGCGCCATCGAATTTGCCACCGCCAAAGTCGCTTATATTCGACGATAACTTGGCAACTACATGGGAGTCTTGGAAGAAATCATGGACACGGTACGAGATTGCAACAGGTGTACAAAAACAAGAAGGTATTGTCAGAGTATCAACCTTGTTAAGCGTAATCGGCGAGGACGGTGTTAAGGCATATGACACTTTTACTTGGGGCGAAGATGAAAATCAAAATGATGTTGATATTGTACTTAAAAAATTTGATGAATATTGTTCACCGAGAACTCAAATAATCTATGAACGATACCGTTTCAACAATAGAAACCAGGCACCTGGAGAAAACATCGCAACCTACCTAACGGAACTGAGAACAATCGCCAGAAATTGTGCACATGACTCGATTACACCAGACGAAATTTTACGGGATCGTCTTGTTTTAGGCATTCGTGATGACCACGTCCGAGAACGTTTATTGAGGCTGAACGATCTCACAATTACAGAAGGCAGTCGACACTATCAAAGCCGCGGAACAAACACAGCAGCAAGTCAAGCTCATGAGCACCGGAGAAGATTTTGTAAATACGCTAAGGAGAACACAACAAGAAGACGCCGGTATAGAAAGTAAACAATATCGAAAGACAAAACCGCCGAGATATTCAATGCGAAACCGCCAGCAGGAAGGATTGTTTACAGAGTGTGGAAATTGTGGTATGGTTCAGGACGAACGGAATTGTCCAGCGTTCGGAAAAAGTGTTTTAAATGTGAAAAGATGAATAAATTCGCGCGGAAATGCCGAGGAAAAAATAGCAAAGCACCACAAGTCAACCAAACTACGGAAGTCGAGCAAAAACCGGAAGAAGATCTTTACTGCATCAGTTCTATTTCTGACAGCAACGAGCCCAAAGCACGCAAAGCTGTGATCAATTTGCAAGTGTCGAAGCCAGAGGCGGAGAACACGGTTTAATTCCAGATAGACACTGGGTCGCAATGTGACATTCTCCCGCCAAGTTCATACATACAAGTTACTGGTGACAAACAACTGCAATGCCTAAAGACCTGCAAGAAGGAGATCGTTTCGTACACAGGAGAACACCGTAAAATCACCGGAAGAGCCAAATTGCCGGTGTGGTTCGGAGATCAGCAAAGAACATTGAACTTTAACATTATTCACGGAGATTATCAACCAGTTTTATCATTAGATACAAGCATCGCTCTTGGCGTTGTCAATTTGACCATCTGTGACATTTTGGCACTGACAATAAAGCCTCCAGAAGACAACTCGTATGTTGCAGAAGAGTATGCCGACGTTTTTGATGGCCTGGGCAAGATACCAGGAGCTCACACGATAACTATAGAAGATACGGCGAAGCCAGTTATCCATGCCCCTCGACGTGTTCCAGTCGCATTACGATCTCAAATAAAAGCCAAACTAGATGAGTTAGTCGACCGAAAAGTCATTGTCCCTGTCACAGAACCCACTCGTTGGGTATCCAGTATGTTGGCAGTCGTCAAGCCGAACAAGATCCGTATATGCATCGACCCGCGAGACCTAAATCGCGCTATACGACGCGAACATTACCAACTACCCACTGTAGATGAAGTCACTTCAAGATTAACGGGTGCCAAGAAATTCACACTCTGCGATGCTAAGGATGGATTTCACCAAATCAAACTTGACACGGCTTCGAGTTATTAGACAACGTTCAACTCCCCTTTCGGACGGTACCGTTGGACTCGCATGCCATTCGGAATATCGAGTGCACCCGAAGTTTGGCAAAGGCGAATGTATGAGTTTGCTCAAGATCTTAATGGAGTTGAAGTCATAGCAGATGACTTCCTTATCGCGGGATTTGGGGAAACTGGAGAGGAGGCACAGGACGAAAAGCGCACCTTTAATATGCTATTAAAGTAGGATTAATGGTGTATTTTATTCGTGTTTAGTCACACTTAATGCGTTTTATTAAAGAGATTAAAGGTGCGTTTTAACACCTTTAGTTCGTTGCATTAAGTGTATTAACGACCACATTAATACCCAGAGATTAAAGTTCAATAAAGGATACTAAGTGTGCATTTAATTCGGCCGATTAAAGACCGATAAAATGCGGTTAAAGATGTATTTAGTCGCCTTTAATATTGGTAGAATTGTTGATTAAAGACAACTTTAATCATACAAAAATGTGTTGCTTATAGGTTATTAAAGGTAAATTTAATCAGTTGATTAAAGACCGCTTAAAGCGATATAAAGAATGAATTAATCACATTTCATACATTGATTAAACTTTGTGTAAGTGCCATTTTAGTTCTATTTAGTCGCTCTATTATATTTGCAATAAGTTGCATCGCTTGTGACGTTGGGCTTTTTATTGCGCTTTTTAAATTGAAAATCTCGAATTTGTGTCATATTTTCTGCCAATACAGTATTATTCATGGATCATGATTACAAAACTGACCCGGTCTTGCTTGACTCAAGGTTCATGCTTCGGTAATTATTATAAGAACATGTAAAAATCAGAGTAATCATTTGTAATGATGAAATGCAACTCAAATATACAACACGCGTTCATCTTTAAAATAAATTTATTATAACATATACATACACATATACTACACCCGTTCATGTATGAAAATGAAACTAAAATTATATATCGAACTGAAACATTTATAATAAGCCCAGACTAATCCTTTCTCGCATAGCGTTCTCACGTACGATATTGTTATCCGTTTACAAGGAAATATAGAAAACACTATACGAAAACGGATTTGTGCGGACAAAGACCCAGTATAAAAACGGAACCTAAAATTATCACGTTTTGAGATTGGCTTTGTAAGATAAAAGTGACTAATGTTTGTGACTCGTTCTTTAGAAAATTCTTTTCAGCTGGCAAAAATTGTTGCCAATTTATGTACAATACACTGTAAATTTCAAGGAGTCTGTATAATTAACTCCAAAATGTTATTCTGTAGTCGTTTTAGACCTTTTTGGTTACAAAATAAAACATTTTGAGTTGATTGAACTCCTTGAAATTTACAGTGTACACAGCTAAATTCACTTATATTGCCCTGGAAACGGTAAAAGGCAATTAAGACTAAAACAGAGCGGGCAAAGCCAAGCGAATAATGCAAATCCTTAAATTTTTAGCGCTGGTCCTAACTGGTAGCTGTTTCATAATCTTTTTCAAGTAAATAACGAGCCAGTTCCCTGTATATAGTGGCGGATTTGTGTCAACATCTGCGACTTGCGCTGGTCCATTTTCAACCTCATATGTGCCCAATCTGCATGGACAGTTGGCCGTGTTCGCTGGTTTGCCAGGTTCGATGGTTCCCCTTGCTATTATGAGTCATGACTCTCCTTAATTGATAGTCCAGGCAGAAAATTCTAGTGATTCTTTATCGATTCTTCTTTGCTTTCCCAGGCAAACTTTCGCACGTTGTACTGTTTAACCCTATAAGTTTCTTCGTCCATCTGGCTCACTTCTGTTGGATGACATGTACTCCATCGTGAGGCCATCTGCCACCTTTGACACTCTTTCTTGGCTCCAGTTAACTTTATTAAGATGTTTGAATGTTCTTGCCAGTTTCTAAAAATGAACACAGATAATATTAGCAACGTTATATTGTATGGTAACAGCTAATTGAAAAAAGGTTATCCTTCGAAAACCTTAAACTCTAAGCACGCAAAGAGTTGGGTTTAGGGCTTTTGATTTGGCAAATAATCCTAGTACGTATACGCTGCTATAGTTGTACATTATACTGCTTATGATCTATCTATCTTGCCATAGTTACAATACAAAATTCGCAAGTTTTAGGCCTAAGGCTAAGCAAGATAGGCCGGTAAGCAAGATCTCGCTCACACTGTGTAGTTATTTTTATAGTAAAAATTGCTGCGCATTTATATAGACAAGCGGGCTGCCAGATTGCCGAGATCTTGCTCGAAAGAGGCGAGATCTCGCTTACTGGGATGGAAATTTCTGCATATAAACATTCACGAGCGGGCTATAGGCCATTTTCCAGGATGAAAGTTCAAATATACCGCCGCAGCTATTTTTAACTTACTCTCAAAACAATAAAATATATCAAACAGAATAACAAAATTGTCCCGGCAAGCGGGATGAATTTTTCTCATATAAACACAAGAGAAATTCATCCCGCATCTCGTACTGTCTGCAGGACAGTCTGGCTTCTATATATGCATGAACAGGCTACGAAGGCATTACCGTATTGAGGCACTCGAATGTATGAAATTAATACTGGCAATTTTAAGAAGCAGGTAATAATTAGTTGCATATATAAATATAATATAATTTAAAGACTAATTCGGGGAATCCATTGTGCTGTATTTAGCTAAAAAATACTGGACTGACTGGACTATACAGTGATATATGTATATGTCATTGATTTTGAAAATGATTTCAAATTTGGAGCCAATATTTCAAATAAACTGTATTTTTATTAACGGTCAAATGGACAAAGTTTTGTTATATCCATATACTGTACGAAGCAATGATGCATTGTCTGACAATTGTAAACGGAAATATATACACTGTATAAATAAACGTTTTACATGTACTTACATTGCAAGCCTTGCCCTTGGGCACTCTCTGTATATTTTTTCCCGTTTGTCTGAGTGTCTGACTCGTCTCCCAGAATAAGATCGAGTAATGATATCCATCTTCTCGTTGAAATTCTTCAGCGCATTCTCATTCCCTGTACTTGTATTGGCTATTATTTTGTTCTCTAAGGAGCTTGTTTTCCTCTACGATATTTTGCAACAACAAAACATATTGGTCCAGTCATATCGAAATTACAGCTAGCAAGTATCGAACTGTGACTGTGACAGCTATAAAGGCCAGACGTTTAATGTAAAAGCAACGGGAATTGGACTTCGAACTATTGTTCACAGTAGGAATCTTACGTAGTATCAGATTTCTTCTGCACACTAGGGAGGTCACCCACGTACAAATCAAATCCGCCTTCGTCCAAAAAGCAGCGAGCAAAGTAAAAATTGGGCTTGTTAACATATAATTGAGTAATTCACAAATTGATTCCATCCATAGTTCTTCTATAATCGTAAACGGCTTATGTTTACACCGTCAGATCGAGGTTTTATTACACAGCCTACAGGGGATCAGTTACCCGACCGGCAAAAGTTTAAAATAGCGCGCGCGGGAATATAGCATTCAAATTATACCTACATAGAACCTCGCAGTGACAGTTTAATACAACAACCTTCAATTCTGTAAAGCTTTTGGTGGTATACCTTGCGCAAAGCCGGTTGAAATGGCGCATTTTAACCAGCATTCCCACACAGCGAGTGGCGCACTTGCTACCAGTGGAATGCGCAACCTTCTGAAAGCTATAATCCCAGTGCCTCCATAAGCTGAACAGAATTGTCAATTGTCTACCTACAAAATAGCGACGTCTCAATACCAAATTACACCGAGGAACGACGTCTTAAACGCAACAGACGTAATGAAAGTTTGTGCCGAGAAAGAGTTTGGAAATGCCAAACAAAGGCGTCTCACGAGTAAAATAAAGAGTCAGATTGAGAACGAGACCAAGGCCATATATCTCAGCTACGATCGAGGGCAGTGTATTATGACCTATTATTTTATTGGAGAAAGTGGAAATACGAAAGATCCTTGTGTACAACGACTAGCTGTGTGTAAGTACATGTAGAAATTGTATGTAGTTCATATACAAAATAAAGAAATTGTCTATCTGAAGCTGGATAGCTAAAAATGATATACTCAGCTTCTGTTTTAGGTATTTTGCCTTTGGCGATAAAATTATATTTGTATATTTATATATGTCAATAGAATCAACTGTCCAAGCGAATTGCGCTGTCTATATAAGCGCCTACATTCAGGTGATATAAGTATAACATTTCATGTTTATACTGTAATATTCAGCATAGCTAAAGGTAATTAAAGTATGTGCGGTTTAATGTTGGTTTTAACTCGCTTTAATATCCTCACTAAATGCAATTAAGTGTATCAGTTTCCAAAAGAGGTGTTTTATTCAGAGTAAATGCGATTAAATGTAACTTTTTATTTAACCACCTTTAGTCAGCTTATTAAAGGTGTAAACACACATTTAATATCTTTAGTATCTTTGCTAAAGCTGATTAATGACACGCTTTTCGTCCTGTGATA